AAATGCTGCCAGGCTTGCTGCGGGAATACCTGCTGCGACGGGGACGCGCAGTGTTGCGGCGGCAATTGCATCTCTAAATCGACGGCCTGTTGTAGTAACAGACCGTGTGACGGTGACGTGAGCACTTCATCAAGAAACTAGTGATCTTGCTGATCATAGGTTTCTTCCGTCTTGTGCTCCATGTAGTGCTGTAAGGACGGCTGCATACCGAAAGGTGCAACCTGCTGCAACAGCGGCAAGTACTGCCCCGCAGACCAGGACGTACGTCAGCTCGCCTCATTTCATCTATTCTCTCAAGGCTAATGATTGTCCGTGCGATGGTATGATACGGGTATAGTGTTGCGGTGCTAGCGGTTCTGAGGTTTGCATTCCCCGCGGCGATGTATGTTGTGGCACTCGGTCCTGTTCGTCAGGTTCCACTTGCTGCGGGAGCGGGTGTGCAGCTTCAGGTCAATCCTGCTGCAATGGGACGGCATGTGATTCGTGTTGTGAGTCTAGTTGTAGCCCTGATGTCGCTCACCGGCTCACTCACATGCGCACTGATAGGCGGAGGCAACTGTTGCAATAGTGGAGAGACCTGCTGCAATGGAAAGTGCATGCCAAACAACTGGTCTTGTTGTAACGGGAATGCTTGTGATGGGGACGTAAGTGCTTTGTATACTTTTTGGAGAGTCTGCTCACCTGTTTGCCTCACCGTCGTGCAGTGTTGCAATGGTTCGTGCATGCCGAGCGGCAAGACTTGTTGTCCTAACGGGAAGCAATGCGACTCTGGGACAACATGCTGCGGCGATTCGTGCGCCAAGTCTACGGAGTCTTGCTGTGGCGGCAAGGTCTGCACTTCGGGAGGGGGCTGCTGCGCTGGTCCATCTGGTCTTCAGACGTGCGCAGACCAGTGCCCAAATCCCACCTCCGCGGAAATCAGCACGCACGCTGGTAGCACGCAAGGTAGCAACACCGGTGCAGACACTGGACCTGCGACCGCGGTCGCGGATAAGTCTGGAGGACTTAGCGGCGCTGTTATTGGTGGTATCGTGATCGCCATCATTCTTGCGCTAGGCCTCGCTGGAGTACTTGCCTTAATATCATTCAGATTCTTCAAGCGCCGTAACACCAGCGAGGTTTCTCACGTTGATCGCCACTCTGGGCCTTACTCTGACGGCGGCGGCGGCGGCGGCAGCCCAAATGAACAATATGCACCACCTCCACCAATGGCAGTTCATGAAAGGAACAGATCAATCTCAGCTTCTGCGGCCAGCGGAATCAAAGAATCTTCAGAGGATACACCGCCGTTTGATCCTTACGCGATGCTCGAATATCGACAATCAGCAACTTCAGCGGCCAGCACCTCAGGCGTTGAGGCCAGTAACGGCGGGAAAGCACCTCCCAGTCCAGTGTATAATCCTTTCGGCATCGTGCGTCCGTCTAGTCCAATTCGGAAAGGCTCACTGCAAGGAGAGTCCAGTCGTGCCCTACCGGCTATACCTCAACAGCCGGCCGCGCCAACCGCCAGCTCTTATTCAACCGGAAATGTCCCTCCTTCCAATGTGGGTTTGAGAGTCCTAAGTGCGGAAGGAATGTTTGGTTACGTTACTGCGGACGAGAAGCATGGTCAGTCGGGACAGGTCGAACGAGAGGACACCCAGTTTCACCGCTTCGCTGCGGGCGAATATTCTGGCTCAGTCGCTCCCACACACCCAGTGACCGGCGTGGATGATAAGTCAGAGGACATCGACCCTCGGCTGAGCATGATAGACTCTGACACCCGCTCGACACGCTCGACGCCATCCGCGGCCGCGGCCGCGGCTATGGCGCTACCTCTTGAGGTCTTGCAACCTCATCAGCGTGAGATTGTGCGCAGCCTGCAAACCAATAGGGTCAGCGCAACCGGAATTCTGGACATCTTTTCGCGCATGGTCGCGGAGAACGAGCGGCAACGTGATCAACTCGAGCCGGATACCGCCAGTGGCATGGCTGAGCAGGATCGTGCTCCTCCCAGCTACGAGTATGAGAAAACTCAAAACAGACAGTAAAGTGGACATAACGAGTCAGCTGCAATTGACAAAATCGTGACAACGGGAGTGAAGGTATTGTTGACCAATGGTCGTTTTTGACTATGCCCCGCTTATGAAAATATGATGGCTCAGACGCAAACGCCCCCTTTGAGATCATTTGCCCCGAAAATTCCAAGCGTCTGGCATATCAAATCTGCAAGCAAAGGGGCAGATGCGAGACTAGGTGCGGCGCGCAACATACATCTGAGTATCACCCACCCTTTGCAACCGAACTCAAACGCTCGCAAGCAACATTTCAAATCCCGGACTTGAGACAAATCTCGAATTTGAACTTGTGGTCGTGATTCCGATGTCATACGTGTTATTTATGACTTAGGCTCATACCAGGAGTAGACTCTGCCTATCTCGAGGCAACAGCGATAACAGAGAACCTGGACATCGAATGACGAGTAGAACAGAGCATCTGCGCTGATGTGAGCACAAGTCCGTTGTGGTCGCATCAACACCGACGGTAAGTTCGTGCATCTCGTCTGCGAGTATATTCAGCTCTCAGAACAATTCACTGCTTCTCTGCTGTGCGAAGTCGGTGATGTCGGGCTACGATGAAGACTAATGCTGACAGCGTGCAATTCACACTCACGGCTAGGGGTCTGAACGTATCATATCCATACGTCTTCTTCCTGTTAGTGATGCGCTTTCTACAAGCTATGGAACGGGCGACGCATGCCGAGTACGGTGACCACGGCGGCGTTCAGGAGACCAAGTGGCGCATCCCGCTCTAAACTCCGGCGTTATCCTCGCTTAACTCTGACCTCTTCAAATCTCCAAACATGCGCAATAATAAGCCTCCGTCGATCGTTTCCACTGTGCCACGACATCCTGTTACTCTAAACTGAGCCAGCTCGGCACGACCCTTGAGTTTGTGGCCGCGTAGGTCGGACGTGCGCTGTATCTATAAATGCTTGGCCTGATGTTCTTTCGGGATGCCATTCTCAACGCTCTTTTATTCTTCCAGACCATGTGCTCGAGTCTCATAACTAACACCCATGTATTGACGTACTCGGCTCTATCTTCGAGTGGGTGGCGGCGCAGGAGATCTATTGTCAATTTTATCCGGGTCAAGAACGGGCTCTGTGGCCACGCCCGCTTCCTGCAGCTTTCACTCTCGCGGCGGTCTGCCGTCGCTGGAGAGAGCTGAGCCTCGAAAGCCCTAGGTTGTGGTGCGACGTCCAATTCAATACATCCAAAGCGCGCCGTGGCATACTCTCGCAGTACATTTCACTGATGTTGTCGCGTTCCAATGACTTGTCGCTTAACGTGGTAACCCACTGCGGCGAGCCCGAAGGGTCCGTCTGCGAGCGCTCGTACACGACATTCTCAAAGCTCGTGCCGCGTGTTCGAAAATTGCACGTTGATTTAGTCGCTGTTGGCACGCCACAGAGCACATCATACTCAGTACTCGGTGGCCTCCTTCATTCTACGCCGCGGCTCGAGATCTGCAGTATTTACTGTGAACACAACGATTGGGACCTTGTGGAGATCGACGAGGCGGACTACTTCCTGCCAGATGCTCCGATACTTCGCAGCCTAGACGTCGGTCCTCTTCCCCTGGGTCCATTCAGACACTGCCTCGCCAATCTAACAAGAGTCTCCGCTGGGGACAGCAGCGGAAGGAATGTCGCTGAAGTCCCGGGTCTCCTGGAACGCTGTCCCAACCTGCAGTCGTTCGGTCTCGAACAGTGGGGATGGAATAGTAGCGGCGCACACCACGTGCATTGCCCCATCGATATTCCAGCTTCGCTGAAGCATATCACAGCCGGGGCTTGCATGCTTCTGCTCAACTCGTCGGTTACAATCGCCGACTTTGCGGGTATCACCCACCTTGACCTCTCAGACGGCGTGCTTGATTGCGCATTGGACGCTATGTCCGTATTCTGCGCGAGCGGAACACTGCCCATTCTGCGCTCCTTGGTGATACCATTTCTTGATTTCTCCCTAGCCATCTCCGTCCCCCTTCTGCAATGCGCCGCGAGCATCGAAGAGGTGCGGCTCGTGGACAAACCAAATCTTCACAGCGCCGCTGCGGGGTCGTTTTTCGTTCACTGGGCGACACCACCACGTGTGCGCTTGTTGCCGAATCTCCTGCGTCTGGAGATCATCAAACGATCTCATACTCGGCGCGTGGCATGGTTCCAGTCATTAGCCATGTTTTTCAAGGCGCGTGAAACAGCGAACCTCATAACTCCGCTGAAAACGTGCACCTTCTTCGTGGGGCGAACCAAGTATCGGGATTATGATGCGATTGACAGATTGCGGGTCACGAAGACGAACGTCACCGTTCAGCACCTGCCTCCTCATGACTATGACACTCTCTACAATTATTAGTATTATTAGTTCAGTTACCGCATGAGAATAACATATGCCCCGTATATGTTCGTTTCAGCAAGATGGGGCAGTAGTAAATAAGTGAAACATAGGGCGGGTTATGTCACATTGACAAGCTCTGACCACTTGACATGCAGAAGTTGATCGAAGCCTGACATTTCATCCCACCTCAAGAAGGCCGAATGGCATAGTTAAAGACAAATAATCCTGAAATGAATGGCGGGAGAAGTACCCATTCGCGTGCGGGGTTTGGTGAGCTCGATGTCTGCCCGGGTGCGACAAGGGGCGACATGATGGGACTCGAGGAAGCCTCCTTGTTCCGGCGGCTTGATAGTAATATCGTTCACGCAGGGTACCTCAGTTAATGTTTGTACCATCAATGATGTTGTTTTGGGGTGAATGTACCGAGTTCTCTGAATCAATCAGAGGGCAAATGTCTTTGGGATCCACTGGCAGGACCTTCTGCTTTTCCACCTGTCAGCTGTTGCATCATGGTGTCACCATAGACCCCATACATCATCGATGTGTCGCAAGCCAGTCACGTGCAGGCGGGTGCAGAGAATGGGTCATTTGATATATGATGACCTTGTTCGATTTAACAACGGGCGTGTGGCACAGTGGTAGCGCGCTTGCTTCGCATTTCCGCAAGGAGATTGATTGCATGAGGCCTCCGGTTCAATCCCGGACTCGTCCATACTTTTTCTGCTTCAATCGTCTTTACATTTTCTCGCGAAACGGCGTTTCCATTACAAAGCGCGAAGATCCGGTAAATACCGGCACCATCGGCGTCGGCCGATTAGAAGGCGGTTCGGCCGAAGCCGGATCTCGGCCTGGAGGTAACGTGGGCAGGATGTTGCAACGTGTTTTGGGACGTAAAGAGCTAAGCGAGACGGCCAACTCTGAACGAGATGATCGCGTTCCCGTGACCTCGTTGTACTCTATTCACCTGCCTGGTAACGCGTAAGCTAGACGTTGTGGACGTCACATACGCCCTCAGCATGTTCAACACGTTTTCCTTAAATTGCCTGATATTTGCTACATACACGAGGATGCTAAGGCTGTTCTCGGCGCACGACGGTAAACCCCGGGGATGGCCCTCGGCCCGCCTGGAGGTTTGGTGGCCATGTCGAAGCTCCCATTGTTAATAAGCTGCTCTGGTGCGGTACAGCACTGCAGACGACGATATATCAGCGTTTTGCACCCGGTCGTAATCTGAGCGTCGCTCGTTTGGCCTCCCCCCACGAGGTGATTTTCGTCGCTACGCTGCGCCGGTGGGTGGGTGGGTCACGACGGCAGCCCATACATTCGCAGTTAAGTTAGCCGCCCTCGAGGAACCCGAGATCCCAAATAATCTCCCTCGTGGTTTCCCGCGATTCCGAGTTCCGCGATGTTTCCGCGAAAGGGGGGCGGGCTAGATCAAGATTATAAGGTGAAACGCGGGTCGCGGTTGCAGGGGGGGGAGGTGTCAATGATTAGATGATCGGACGACGCGCGGCATCAATATTGCCGTGCGAAACCCTGCCCTTGGGAGAGGTCATTGTCATTTCCCCCTCCCTCCGGATGAATGTACTGCATTGCGTTGGTACTGGGACGTCAGCGGCGGCGCTGTATTGCCGCGGGCCGTTTTCGCACAAAACGGGAACGCGCAAGGGTGCAGTTCGTTCGCGTAAAAAGGCGCGGCCGGCCACTCTCTCTGAGTCTGTTTTTTTTTGCCGGGATCGGGGGACGGGTGTGACGGCGGGGGAGGGGGAGGGAGGGCACGCGTTATGCATGCCCGCGGCGGTGGGATTAGATATGATAGGGTGATACGGTGTGATATGATATGATATGATATGATTGGGCGCGCGGAGGGTGTGTGTGCGACATCGCCACAGTGTCGCACCCTCGCGGATTCGGAAGTCGCGACATAAGCGAGACAGGTCGACAAGCGGCATCCGGAAGCGGAAGGCGGGGGAGACGTGATCATCAGCAGCACCAAGTTAACTGTACGTCCGCGAATGATCGTGCCAGGTCTTGCCGAGCGCCTCTTTTTTTCTGTGAGGTGTCAGGCGAGATTTCAAGAGAGAGATTTTTTTCTATTTGGTTAGAGACGTGGACCAATCGACGTGCCGTTCTTGGGGGTCCTTCTGCAGGCTGACATCTGGAGAGATGGGCAACGACCGGCCGGTGACTTGAGAAGCTGTGGGGAGTGTGTTTCCGGCGTTCTGGCGGATATCTTATCAATTCGCAAAGTGCAAGAGGGGTGAGATCGGTTGTGAGAGCTGAACCATGGCATATGAGATGATCTCTAGAGCAGGACTGGGTGAATGATCTGACGGGGAGGGGAACGTGGGAGGGTGTGAGTGTGGTCGCGGGGTGTGCAGCCAATAGGCGAGCGGTGATTGAAAGCGGTGCGGTGTTATCGTTTGGTGTGTTACGCGCACGACTCGGCCTCGCTCAAAGTGATGGCACGTCCGAGCAACTGCACTTCATCTCCGCATTTCGCATCTCTTTCTCTCACCTCTTCGTTTGCCTTTGCCCATCCTGCATTGCCTACCATGACCGTCCTCGTCGCCACCCCAACCCACACCCCTACTCCGCCGCAGCCTCAATGGCCGCTCACCCACGCACCTGCGCCTGTGCCTCGCCCCGCATCACCTCCACCGGCCCCCGCATCAACAGCCAGCTCGGCGACTGTATTTGAGTTCAAAAATGCCGATGCGGCGACGATGAGCACCGCGGCCACCAGCGGGATCGGACCCACCGTGTGCTCCAACTGCAAGACTACAGATACACCGCTCTGGCGACGTGACCAGGACGGAAACCCCATCTGCAACGCATGCGGTGTGTATTCGCCCCACTTGCACTCTAATGTAACCCTGGAATCTAATCTCTTCGACATGATGCAGGGTTGTATCAAAAGTCGCGCAAGATGGCCCGTCCGACGACCCTCCAACGCTCTCCGTCAGCTGCGGCATCTGCAACTGCTGCCGAGCCCGCTGTGCACCTGGGTGGGACATGTCCCGGCGATGGACGTTGCGACGGAACGGGCGGGACGTCTGCCTGCTCCGGTTGCCCAACCTTCAACAACGCTCTCCAGGCACATGCTGCCCAGGTCCACCACGTCGTCCAACAACAACAGCAACAGCAACAACCCACTCCTTCTCAAGACACGGTACACGACAGCCCGTCACCACAGCCAAATAGCCCAAGTCCGCCCCCACCTGCTGCAATCGTCGACAAGCAGCGGCCCCGTGTCCCCATTGCCTCGCTCTCGTGCCACAACTGCGGCACTAGCACAACTCCCCTTTGGCGCAGGGACGACGCCGGTAACAACATCTGCAATGCCTGCGGTACGTTCATTCATGTCTTGTGACGGTGGTCAGATGACCCCGCAAGCCCAGCCAGTTCCAGTTCGCTGACGTTTGTTCCTCTCTTGCATTGCACACCGACACCTACACACGCGCTCCCCGCGTCGTCCATCGGCCCTCCGCCTCATGCCCGACACGTTTTTTTCCATCTCATCTCGCTTCCAAATTTTTCACTTTTGACGCGCCTTATCTCGATCTGGACTTGTGTGTCTCGTTGTTCTATCTCTGACGCCCGCATTCTCGGCGCCTCCGACAACCCGACAACACACGGACTCGCCACCGCCCCGCTCCAACAACCTCAACCTCGCATCTACACACAACTCTATATCATCCCGACCCTGCCCCCCTCCGACCTCCTTCCGCTCGAAACGTTGATCGCTTGCACGCGTCCGTCTCTATTGCTGATGCCCTGTCCGGCGTCTCGCCTCTTCTCTATTGCCCTTCCCACGGCTCGTCTTTGCTGATTGCGGTCTATCCGATTATCTCATCACCCACCCACCTGGCGCCACGTCCCCTTCTGCGGCTGATGTCTGAATATTGCATCTATCTCCCCCTCTGATGGCTCTTTCTGCTTGGTGTTGAATTTTCTGCACTGGCTTTCTCGGCGTCGACAGGCCTCTACCTAAAGCTTCACGGCACCCACCGGCCCAACTCGATGAAAAAGTCGATTATCAAGCGCCGTAAGCGCGTACCTGCTGCTGCGGGAGGCTCCTCGTCCCCACGAGGCGTAACTAGCACAACAGTGACGCGTGCAGCCGAGCACGCCGCAGCCGAGACGCTCCTCGCCGTCGGCCGCGCCGCCAGCCTTAGCGCGGCGGGCAGCACGAGTGCCAGTGACAACGGCAGCGCCAGCGAGCGCGAGGGCGGGCGACGCAACAAGCGCAAGCGCGCCCACGAGGATACGGACGGCGACCACGACAGCGACGCGCCGCGGATGACGCGTCGTGCGAGCGCAGCGGCGGTGGCGGCGTCGCGAGGCGGGCACCCGCTCCAGCGGCACCACCTGAGCTCGAGCCCCGGGCTCGACGACTACGGGCGCGGCAGGTACGACCTGCCGCCGATTGCGGTGCTCAGTGCCGCGGTGCACCACGAGATCGAGCGTGAGCGCTCGGCTAGCCGGGAGCGGTTCTTTGCACAGGCTCAGGCGCAGGCGCAGGCAGGCGCGGTTCCGACGTATGCGGAGCTCGAACGTCACTACGATACGCTGCGCTCGGAGCGGCGTCGGTTGGAGGAGATGCTCGAGGTGACGGGCGCGATGATGGATCGCGTGCGCTCGGGTATGGACGAGATGTCGCGCTCTCAGCCGCTGCCGGTTCAGCAGCAGCAGCAGCAGCAGCAGCAGTCGGTCTCGCTGCACCAGGCGTTCAAGCAGCCGACCCCGCCGCCGTCGATGCAGTTCAAGCAGCCCACGCCGCCGCCCCCGGCCATGCAGTACAAGCCCGCCAGCCCGCCGCCGGCGGTCGTGCAGTACAAGCAGCTCACGCCGCCCCCACAACAGCAGCAGCCCGCCGTCGTCCCGATGGCGGTTGATGCTGTTCCACTGCGCGCGCGTGAGGCGCGCCCGCAGGCCGGCCAGCCCGTCTGGCACTGGTCCACGGAGGCCCAGACGGCCGAGTCCTAAGCTGGGTGCCACACAGACCCGGCGAGCACGACGATATATAGACCAACGACGTTTTGCGTCGTTGACACACACCTTCTCTTCCCGCTTTACGACAAAACCCACCTCCCCTGATATATTGAAGAAAAAAACCACGGTCTGCTTTCGGTGTTAGTTGTTCGTTTCGTGTCATGGTTGTTTCCCTCCCCCCTCCACTATGCCCCCCATCGGCTGCACTGTCCATACTGAACGGTTCTCGTCCTATGGCTCTTCCCCTGCTTCCGCTCTTCCGTCGCGACCCCGGCCTCCGTGTCGCTCGAACACCCCCGAAAGTTGACTATGAGTTTCTTACTTCTGTCTAATTCCCTTTGGCGTCTCTCTCCACCATATGCTTGCATTGTCCCCGGCCCCCTCTTCCATCTATGCATGACTTCCTGCGTTCCCGTCCAATCTGTTGCATCGCTCGCACTTTCATACTCAAACCCCCCATCAAACCTTCATGCCCCCATCCCCCTATATCTTTGGTCCTATCACTCTTCTCGCTGTCGCTGTCGCCGTGCCCCTCAACTCATCTGTGCACATTTCCCATTTTTTTTCTCCGGTTTCCCCGTCTCTCGTCTCGTCTCGTTGAAAGTACACTACTCCGTCTACACGCGCGGGCTGCCTCTTTTTGCTTTGGCCCGCGCATCCACTCACACCCCGCACGCCCATACATTCACCCATACACACATACTCTCCGTACTCGCA